GCAAATAAATATAGTAACCTTGTATTTGACAAATGTAAAGATAAGATTTTGGGATAAGAATTTATTATTTGGTAAAAATTGTTGGGAAAACTGGAAAGCAGTATGGCATAAATTGAGCATAAACAAATACCGTACACCACTTACCAGCATAATATCCAAAAGAGATTGCTTTAGGCAGCAAATAATGGTAGTCTTATAATGGCTGATTGCTTTTCTCAAGGAGCTTAGAAACTCCAGGGTCCATGTTGAACTAATATTCATAGCATGTCTTCAGTAAGTAAGGATATTAAAGCACGCAAAGATTTGATGACTTGACCAGGATCATGTTGAAAGTACAGTCGGTTTTGATAGAGCTTGCCAGAGCCAGCCTTTGCTAGAGTAGCTCCGTTTATTTTTTACAAGAAGTTCAGAAAACTCTAACCAGGATCCACAATACTGACCTCCATGTTTCAGTGCATCTCTTCCTCAGTCAAAAGACGTTTCACACTCTTAGGCTGCACAGACTTGACATGGAGGAATCTTTCTGCACACAAGCAATGTGAAATCTCCAAAATATCACATCAAGTGGCTTTTTCTCAGTTCTCATTCTTCTTGATTCCTTTGAAGCACTTAACACTATTGACCCCTCCTTCCTTCCTGAAACTTGTACCTCCCTTGTTTTCGCTGACATTAATGTCCTCCCTCTCCTCTAACTGTTCAGGCCATTCCTTTTCTATCTCCTTCATAGGCTTTACATACTCTGCCTTTTCCATAAATTTGGGTATACCAGAAGGCTTAACCCTTGGCCCTTTCATCTTGTTTTTATACTTTCTCACTCTCTCTATCTCTGTCATCGTTCACCCTCAGGAACTCACTGTGCTATGGGATACAGATTTTTCAGTACTACTAGTGCTTTGGAATGTACACATCTTTTAACAGTTTAAACCAAGAATCTACATGGCATGTCTAAATGACAAATAGCCCTTGATGTAAAAACAATCAGGCCTAGTACATTCTACCATAAAGTGGCACCAAGACATGGATTTTTACCTCATCTCACTGAATGCAGCAAATAATATTTTTGACCTTGTAGTTTTTGGGGGGTTTTTTTCTTTCTGTTTTTACCACTGAAGCAGAATTTTAAGTCCATGCTAATGGCTTTAGTGCTTTGGTCGGTGCTAATGTCTGCAATTCAGACATATCATTGCTTCTACATTGTTCCCACTAGTGGGCCAGAAGAGCCCTCAACCTGGAGTGGCTACATGGGAAAGATGTTCATGGCTGCTACCAACTACCTCCCTTCTCAAGTATCAGATATGATGAACCAGGACAGAGCCTTTGCCACTGTGCGTTTGAATTTCTCTGGTCAGAAGAACATCTGTACCCTCTCTACGTACGTATGGCATTGCCCTCTTCCTTTTTTAATTTATAGAGATTGAGACTGAATAGACCTTGTAGTTCAGGATCTTATTCACTGAACTGAAATAAACCTGTGCTGGTAAGGATGATGATCGAACTTTGCATGTTACCCCTTTAAACATCCAAAGCAGACACACACTCATGCAAAAGAATTACTAACCCCTGTTTATGAATCAATGTTGCTATTTAGTTACAGTAACTTTTTTGATGAAGCTATTGTGTCAGAGGGGCTTCTTTACATAAGAAAAACAGATGTTAGCAATGAACTCAGTAGATTTTTCATCAAAAGGTGGCCTGTTTGCACAACTATTTCACAACCAAATTCCATGTTTTCATTTGCTTTTAGTATTCAGAAGTTGCCAAGGCTGTTAGTCATATCATCTGATGGACGACTTTACATCTATAATTTGGACCCCCAGGATGGAGGAGAATGTATCTTAATCAAGACCCACAGGTAAAAATGTTTGTTTTCAAAATGACAGACTTTCAAAAGTGTTAGAAAAGCTGCGTCCTTAAAGTAGGTTCTAAGACCAAGGATATATTTCAGGGCTCTTGCTTTATTGTCATCTACAATTAGAGGTGTTTATTGAGTATTGAGTACCCGACTCTTTGTAGGACAGTGTTGGTGGGCTTGAGTCCACATATCCTTTAGTTATCATTTAACATTTTAGAAACTTCACAGAGTGTTTAAACTTTGCTCCTATGCCACCTTGTAGGTGACTCTGGGCTCCTGAGAATATGCCAGTGGAGCACAAGCATTGGCAAGTCCTCCTGAGCTGGAAAGGCTTCAAGTAAAGTCTAGTGATAGACTACTTATCTGACATTCCAGGACCCGCTGGCCTAAATTCAGAGGGGATCACCTCTACCCTGGACACAGAGACTCTCAAAGACCTTTTACTAAATCAAAGGTGTGAGCTGTATCTTTAGATAAAGTACCCACACCAATGAAATCACCGGTTGAAGTTTAACAATCATTCATGTCTGTTTTCTTGCTTAGTCCTTTCTTTAGTGCTTAAATAGCTTCTATAACCAAGTGTAGTATGATCTATTCCTATACTGTGGATAGGAATGATGATAATGTTTTCTCTTAGTGTTTACCATATCTTAAACAGTAAATTTTCTTGCTTGGGTACTAATTTTTAAGGCTTCCCTTAGCTATTTTGATGTTTATGTTGCCCATCTCATAGGTTAATATAGCCTCAGTTCGTGCTATCCTAGAAGTGCTGGTTGAGTCTATAGAGCCTACTTCTTTCTTTGAAACCATTTTAAGTATAATACATTTCTTTTTCTCTAAATTGATGAAATTTAGCTTGCTTGGCTCAGGAAAGACAGAAGAGAATAAAGAAAATGACCTCAGGCCTTCATTACCTCAGTCTTATGCAGCAACAGTAGCTAGACCAGGCACCACATCTTTGTCCTCAACAGTGCCAGGTGAGCAGAAATCAGACTGGTGGGGTAGGACACTTCTAACCATTTGCTTATTCCTCCCAAGTGATGTTTACTAAAACCTTCTTTTCCTTAGTTATTTTTTGCCATAATTCATTTTGTCGTGACAATTAGCTTTAATCTTTTGACAAGTTGACTAGTTTTGAGTAGAGTGTTTCAGCTCCACCTTTCATGCATCCCTAACAGCAATACAAATGCAAGAAGTTGTATCATACTTTCCAATTTTCTCACATTTTTCTGTAGTTCTGTCCAGAGCCATCAATTAAATGGGGACAGTTTGGTACTTTTCATTTCTCATGTTTCTCCTTCTGGCCCTCCAGGTTATTCCGAGGATGGCGGAGCACTTCGAGGAGAGGTTATCCCAGAACATGAGTTTGCAACGGGACCAGTGTGTCTTGATGATGAGAATGAGTTTCCTCCTGTGAGCATTAGGAGCCCCTAAATGAGTGCTTCAGACTGCACAATAAGAAGACATTCTCCTCCAAGAGGCGAAGTCATTTTTCCCATTCTGTTAACCTAGCCTATAATAACTAATTCTCTCCACTAATATTCAAAAAGCCATAAAATAATTTTTATATCATATGCTTAAGATCTTAAAGAATAGTCATTAGCTATAAGCTTAATATTGACAGCAGTTAGAACAGCAGGATACTAATCCAGAGAGCTTTTGGACTGACTGACCTAAATGAGATCAATGGCCTGAAAAACTTGTCTCTGGCTTATATATCTTTTGTTGATCATAATTAGCAACTTATTATAACAAAATTGGATTTTCCTTAGATTTCTAAGGATGCTTTGGGGTTGGGGGGAGCTGTTTTTATCTTTGTGGAGATAATATTTTTCCAATGATAGGCTACTTTTTCAGGATGGAGGCCCACAGTACAGAACTGGTAACTGCTGTAACTTTGAAAGGCACTGTTATGTCCAAGAGGATCATCATTTATTGTTTCATTGCCATGCCAACCCACATAAGTCTGAGTGTTTTTTTAGTGGAATCTTGTCCACATAGCTAAAGACAATAGAGGTGGAACTAGTGGTATTTATTGATTGTATCAATAGTAATGTGTATTCAGTGTTTACAACCAAGATGAGCCTTTTAAAATGAAATCAATGTATACATACATTTGTAATCGCAATTTTCTGGAATCATGCCAGATCAGTTGTTAAAAGTCCACTTCTGAATAAGGTGGGTAGTAGTTTTTCTATAGTCTCAAGTATGGATTAATATATGGATAGACTAACAAGTCAAGCATAGCATGTCCTGGCCCCCCAATTGACTTTGCATGGACTCAGATCTCTTTATAACACATCCTGCTTAACAAGCCTCTTCCTGGAAAGAGTAAGGACATTTTGTTTTGATTTTGTTAGATAATCTTGTGCCGTGGAAGTCAGAAGGGCAAAACGAAGCAGTCATGATGAGAAGCACACTTCAGAATTCAGCACATCCCTTTATCAGGTGGTTTTGGAAAAATAAAAAAAACCAAGGTGGAAGAATGGATTTGTATTTGTATGAGACAGATACAGAGTGGTTTGGGTGGAAGAAGTAACCCCAGGTGCTCCACTTGTTTTTAACTACAGTATATTCTTAAATTCTTACTGTGTTTTCCTCAGCCCTGGTTTTTCACTGGGTGAAATATTATGTGCACATTACTCGAAGAATAGCTTAAAACTACAGTGTAAATGCTAACTTAACCATATTGGTATGTAATCAAAATTTTGTTTAAAAAAAGGGGGGAGACATCCTTTTAAAATTTGTGCTGTGTGCAAATGTATTTATGGGGAAAATCCCATTAAACTGTATTTCTTTGTACAGTATATTACACACACACACACACACACACAGATTATTTTACCCAGACAAATATTTTTGCATAACTACTGGAAAAAAAACATTTATTACCTTTTAAGAACAGTAATAAAATCATGACAATGCATTTATAAATTGTTCATTTTTCTTTATGGGCTTGGAGAGCAGGAAGAACTGCAAAAACCATGAGACTATAGTTCTATCTTCTAAAAACCACAGAGAATATGGAAATAGGTTTTATATATTCAGTATCATACTGCTTGCCTTCTCAAGGAATGGGGGAGGGGCAAAAGGGAAGGAGAGAATTTGGAACTCAAAAATATTTTAATGAATGTTAAAATTTTAATGTAATTGAGAAATATTTAATGAAATAAATAAAAACATATTAAAAAACTAAAAACTACAGAGAATCTTGACCATTGAAGGATCTGAATGAATGAATACTTCTGGCCTCATACTCCAGCAATTATTCTGATTTTTTTTTATCCTGACTACATACCAATTGGGATGAATCTAGTATGAATTAGCCATTGGAACTAGAAGGCACTATTCTAATCTCTGCAGAGTCAACTCTCTGCCCAGAACAGCTGTTTTCCTGAATTAGTTTATTCTAAATCTGGCATGAAAAAAAAAAAAAGGACAGCATATGTAATATGCTAAATGGTGGTTTTGAAACAAGACCCCAGGTTTTGTTTTGAAAACTATAATGACTAGAAAATTGAAAATCTCAGAAAACTAAAATCAGGAAGCCCATATGATTTCTTTTTTTCCCTGTCTTTCCCCCGGCTGAAACACTGAGGCTAATTACAGGGGAAGCTGGCATCGGCAAGCTATCTCGAGTACATTGCAACAGGGGATCACTGAAGGATCATGAGAATAATCTGCTACTGAAGTGTTATCACCTGAGATATCCTGAAGAATGTCAACAAGAACCCCTGTGACTTTAGGCAATATGTCCTGGTAGACAGCACTACTGCTATCTAAAGGTGCACATTCTTCAGGGTCCTCTTGTAGATTAAAAATAAGAGGAAGTCTGTGATGCCGTTCAGGTCCAAGGCTCCCATCACAGGCTTCTGCACCACCTAGAGAGGAGGGGAAGAAAAATAATGCATTAAATCTTGCTATCATGGCTCAGTGTTGCAAAATTCTAAAGGCTGGAATGGTATGTAAGTATGCCTCGAGTTTTTTAATAAGTATGTCAGAACTCATATATGCAGATGAGTGTTATCCCCTCCAAGTAAGTTCTTGGAAGGCTATTAATTAATACCATTGTTTAGTATGCCTTCTGGAGTTCCTGTCAACCTGCAGCATCCTCTTGTGAATATCCTCTGGTGGCAAATGTTCATTCATTGAGGGTGCAATTCCAAATACACTTTGAGTGCAGGAAACATCATCAGAATAAGTGTATAGTTTTCAGTTGTAACATCTTTGAAAAGGACAAAGCTCATTTTATGTATATGTTTTGGTAGCGGCATCAAACTCCAATAGAAACGGGCCAGTAAACCACACATAAGGATCCTTGTAGGCTGCATACTGAATGAGAAAACCACACGTGTATTTATAGATTTCTTTTTTATTGATATACCATCACATTAAAATCAGACGGGTATTACATTTTAATCTGGTTTGGGCACATTCAGGAGTGTTGCAGCCTGAGTGCCACATGTTCCAACACCTCTGCTTTAGACAGTCGCATCTAAGCATCAGCTTTTATGAAGCTAAGGGCTCAGTGGCAAAGGTGGTTAGCTTTAATATTAAGCCACAGGGGCTCCATACATCTTTAATATATATGATGTGGAAGTATAATAGATATCTTACTTGTGTGCATCTGAGTTTTTTGAGAATATCATAATGAAGTTCTGACTTAAAAGTTTCAACTTAGAACACTTGAGAGAAATGCTAGAAATGCTTTTTTGCATTTGCCTCTGAATCCACCAACATCCTTAGGAACAGTCATTTTTGTACTTGATTAAAATTACTTTAAAAGCTCAATACTAGCTAGACCAAATTGGAAGCTAGTTCACATATCTGAGCTTGGACATCGGAATGATTCAGCCCCTGATTCCTAAACAGTTCTTCAAGACAATTAAAGACTGAACCAAAAAGCACAGAGATAATTCAGTGTGGTTTTCTAAATAGATCTCTAAGAGTCTATTTTTGATGCAGGCTATTGTTAAGTAAATTGCACTTTAAAAACATCTCTAGGTTTCTACCTAGTGTTCATCCATTTATAATGTAAGAATAAAACAGAACAACTACAGTGAAAGGATTTCAAGAGTGCAAAAAAAAGCTCTGAACTTGCTGTGAGATAGAACAGAGTAGGATCACACTGAATAATTGTGAGTAGAGAACAAACATGGAGCCCACTAGTAGCCTGTGGTTAAAGGCAACTGAGAGTGAGGAGCACAAGTTGCTTAGGGAGCTGCTGAGGCATTCATCTTACAGAATCCCAGTAAGAGTCAATTACAGCTTCAGAAGAAATTCTAGTCTAGGAAAATCAATGGAGTAGATATAGGGGATACAGCCTATGGGTCTAAGTAGAAGGGCACTGGGAAACGAAATGAATCTTACTACCCTGATAAATGAACTTTCTGTTGAAGGTTAGGCTGAGGAAAGGATAGAAAGAGTGAGTCTTACCAGTGATGTAAAAGGCCTTATACTGCCCTAGACGAACTGTCTGTAGGGCACCATAACTTCCAGCTGCCCCACTGTTCGGGTGAAATAGCACCTAAAAGAGGAACCAATGACTTGATTGCAGTGACACGTGATGACATAGGAAAAGCAACACTTTCCTGTACTTCCCACACACAGAAACTGATCTAATAAGGGCCAGAAGCCTCTGAGCAGTTCCCCAATACATTTAGATATTTTTTGAGTTGCTCACAGTATGTAAATTACAGCTTTTAACCATTATAGGTGTAGGCACCACACACAGTCAGGTCAAAGGTGGCCTCATAGGTCAGGTTTGCATTAAGAAGTTCCTCTTTAGCAGCTTTGTCACAGGTTGTGAACTGTTTACACAGTGACTTCTGATCAGGAAGAACTTAAAAAAAAAAAAAAAAAGATGATTTGGGCTCAGCTTTAGCCTTTTTTGGCCCAGAGTTACTCACCTTTGGCTAAGCCCTATGCTATTCGTGTTGAGGAAATATTTCCTCATCTGGTCACAGATGAAAAAAGAAGCAAGTAGAAACAGGAATTTCCTTGTTCCCAAGGGAAGGGTGAAGGGTTTAGTAGAAAATGTTTATAAATGATCAGTGGTAGGATGCTAGGTTTGGCTTCTGCATTAAAAGACTTGCTTGGAATGAATCATGACTATATATCATTGGGAAGGAGCTTATATGATTCAAAGTTTCCATTGGGCTCAAAAATTTGAAACATCTGTTCAAGTGGTAAATATCTGTTCCCCAAAGGTTAGCAACCAAGTATAGTTAATTAGTTGTATGATTACTTAGCCTGATGTATATACCACACTTGTTACCTTTAACGCTTTTAAGGGACCCAACTAATACTAATGTTATCTAAGCCCACTTCCAAAAATGAAAATAACCTGAAACTTAAAACACCCATTTATTTCTCCCCTGCAGAGAGCCAGGATGTTGGCCAAGGAAGATAGTTCATTCTTCTTTCTTAAAAAGGAGAACCTGGCACTTCAGCAAAGCTAACAATCCCATTCTGGGTGTCTTAAGAGAGATGTGCATTATGACTAATCGAATGACAAGCATACACATGAACTTTGCACGAGGACACTTCCCTTCTAAGGAGGCCTGTCTCGAGTTAGAAATAGCTGTCTCCTCTGGGTGTGTACAGGAGGGTGGTACTCTCTTTCAGCACCTGCTTACTCATGTTGGTCATGTGCCTTTTGCCCTGTTCTGAAAGCTGTGAGGGGGAGTACAGCTTGTTTCAGTAAGTCACTTTGAAACTAGTCCTTGACTTTTAGTCCCAAGGTAGTTGACCTTTCTCATTTATGTGTTCGTTTATGTTCTGAAAAGGGCAAGAAGTCTCCTCTCCCCCCACTCCCATATTTTACTCCCTGTCATGCTGTGAATAGAAAAGGAATATTCAGTACTAGAGACCTTCTTAAAGAGAAGTGATCATTGTGCCTGAAAATAAAATGAGCCCATCTCATTCACATCTGCTTAACTTAGGATATTCCCAGTCATATTTTTGTGCCCAAGGCAGCCTCCAACTGGGTTGGGCTGGGCTGATATTGAGCCATCTTGGACAACTTATAATCTCTGACACCTCGAAACAAGTTAAGTGGTGAGGTTGACACACACGCATGTTGACATCCTGCTGACCATCATGGTACTGTAACTTTCAGTTTCAAAATGAGGGGCAAGAAGGCTGTATTGATAGCAGTATACTGTTCAGAAACAAAGGAGGTGATGTGCTGATCAGATCAATGTCTAAAGCATCATGTGTAGTTTAGAGCACCATATCTTTTTTTGTTTTTGATGAGGCAATTGAGGTTAAGTGACTTGCTCAGGGTCACACAGCTAGTAAGTGTCATGGGTCTGAGGCAGGATTTGAACTCAGGTCCTCCTGACTCCAAGGCTGGAGGCTTTATCCACTGTGCCACATAGCTGCCCCATAGAGCACCACATCTTAAGAAGCACATTTGCAAACTGGAGAATAAGAAGCCTCAAACTCAAATCTTATGAAGAACAACTGAAGAAACTAGAGATGTATTTAACCTAAAAAACTGCTGGAGAAGGGAGGGATGTAATTGATATCTTCAGATATTTAAAAGACTATGAGAAGAGTAGATTTAGTCTGTATGAGAACAGAGTGCAGAACTCACGGAGCCATATTTTTGGCTTACGGGCAGCAAGGTAGTACAGTTGATAAAGTACAAGGGCCTGAAGTCAGGAAGACCTGAATTCTAATCCAGCCTCAGACACTTACTAGTCGTGTGACTCTGGGCAAGTCACTTAACCTCTGTCTGCCCTGGTTTCCACAACTGTAAAACGGGGACCCAACTTCCTGGCTGTTGTGAGGATGAAATGAGAATATTTGTAAAGCACTTAGCACAGGTCCTAGCACATAGTAAGTGCTTAATGCTTGTTTTCTTGTCCTAGTGTAAAAAGGAACTCTAAGAATTAGAGCTTAACCAATTGGAAAAAAGTACAAGTTATATAACCACCTGTCACTAATGCTCTAGTAGGGATTGCTTTATGGAGCAGGAGACCTCTAAAGTCCCTTCCAATGCTGAGATTCTAAATCTAGAGAAAGAATTGGAAGGGCTCCCTCTACATGCTTATCACCCTATAGTTATGTCCAGATGGGAAAACAAACACACACACACATACACATACACACACACACATACACATACACACACACACACACACACACACACACACACACACACACACACGAATGTAAGAATAGAAACTGAAGTCAATATTTTCTTGCAAAATCCTCAAGTTTCAGGTCTTTGTTACCTGTTCTAGCTCAGGTCCAGTAGGGGTTATAACATTTTATTTGGTGTCAATTCTACCTCTGTGTAAACATGAACATAAGGCTCCACTGGAGACTAATAAGAAACAGGAAATGTGGAAAGAAGTTACCTCCCACTTTAAAACCTGGAACAAATAAACCCTTCTGCATCCTGTGTGGAGGGAAAGAGCAATGAATTTGGAAGTCAAGACCCTGAATTCAAATTATTCTCTTCTACTTACTACCTATGTGACTTCAGACAAGTTTTCATAGACTCAGTTTCCTATTCTGTTGAATGAAGGTATTAGGGTAGCTAATTTCTTAAAGTCCTACAACCAGAAGTATTTTATTTTAAAAGTCAGTATGTGGAGAGTTGGCCAATTTGTTGCTTAACATATTGAGTTGATTTACCTCTCCAAGGCTAGGGATTTCATTTATAAAATGAAGCTTGAGTGCAGGAAAGGGAATTACTTCAAGGATTTTAGAAGCCAAAGGGACAACTAGGTGGCACAGTGGATAGAGTGCCTGGAATCAGGAAGATTCATGCTCCTCAGTTCAAATCGGGCCTTAGACACTACCTGTGTGACATTGGGCAAGTCACTTCACCCTGGTTTGCCTCAGTTTCCTCATCTATAAAATGAACTGGTAGGGGCAGCTAGGTGGTGCAGTGGATAGAGCACTGGCCCTGGAGTCAGGAGGACCTGAGTTCAAATCCAGGCTCAAACACATAACACTTACTAGCTGTGTGACTCTGGGCAAGTCACTTAACCCCAATTGCCTCACAAAAAAAAAAAATGAACTGGAGAAGGAAGTGGCAAACCACTTCAGTATCTTTGCCAAGAAAACTCCAAATAGGGTCATGAAGAGTTGGGCACAACTGAAACAACTGAATAACATGAAGCCATAAAGATAGCTTCTTCAGTTCTTAACTAGGGAGTTGGTCACTGAGGTTTTTATAAATGCAAATGTATTCTTTCAGTCAGTTTCCCCTCTCCTTTTTCTTTTGGTGAAAGAAAACTTTGGAGAAATTACTAGGTAATGATATTAGTAATAATTCTACTACTACTATAATAGCATTTATATAGTGCCTTAAGATATACAACAACCACCCTGTGAAGAAGGTGTTGTTGTTATCCCCATTTTATAGATGAGGAAACTGAGGTTGAGAGAAGTTAGGGGACTTGCTCAGGGTCAAAGAGTTAATTATCTAAGGCAGAATTCAAACTTGGGTCTTCCTGACTTCAATCAAGTTCTTTATCCATTTATACCATCTAGCTGCCAACAACATTGACATTTCCTGCCTGTTTCCCTCACCTTGGTCATTACTTTGAGAGTCCATTGAAAGACTGATCACTCACTCAATACCTAGCTTCAATCAGAACAAAGAGGGTCAGTCCCTAGACTCATACATTCATTGCTTCAGGAGGCTGGCAGTACAAATGACTAAGCACACAATGTGTCTGGAGTCCTGCCTTAAGTGTAAGGTGGATGGCAGAAAACTGGAAGGTACATCAGTACCATTAGAGAGCTGGGAAAATTAACAAAACCAAATCCCAGATTTAGAAGGAACCTCAGAGACCATCTAATCCAGAGAACCTGAACAAGAGTTTCTTAAACAGACTTTAAAAGGGGTCATCCATGGCAGCTAGGTGGTACAGTAGATAGAGCATTGGCCCTGGCTAAGTTCAAATCTCACCTTGGACCCTTACTAGCTGTGTGACCCTGAGCAAGTCACTTAATCCCAATTGGCTCCAAAAAGAAAAAAAGAAAAAGGGGTCATTCAATCTTTTCTTGAAGCACTTCTGTGAGACATCTAGCACTCAGCCCACCTCACCCCCACTCAGAGAGAGTCTGTTCCACTTTTGGACAGCTCTAATTATTAGGAAGTTTTCCTTACATCAAGCCTGCCCCTGCAACTTTCAGCCACCACCCCTACAGGGTCATGCAGAATGAATCTGATTCCTCCTCAAGCAACAGAACAAATCAAGAAACAACCCAAGAAGCCTCAAATGATACAAGTATACCCCAGCTTTAAGTAAATCAACATATGAAATTGTTTAGAATCATAAAATATCATTCATTTCACAAAAGGATTCACTTCAGGGATCCTGAAATTGTGAATACCCTTAATATACTCAAAATAGAATTCAGTTTCTATAAATACAACTTTTCAGATACCTAGCTATTGCATAAGGTGAAGCATCCCTGTAGAGCAAATGCTGAAGACCAATATGTTTTAGGGATACAAAGCACAGCAGTCACAGGAGGGTGATACACACACACACACACACACACACACACACACACACACAGAGTGAATAGTCTCAGACTCAGCAAAAGACTATTTTACTCACCCTATGCCCAGTGTGGGAGTGTCCAAAGAGAACTTCTGATATGTCCAGACCATCAAAATGTCGTTTTGGGGGCAGGTTCACCTTGGCCAAAGATGCTATAGTTGGAAAGATGTCAAGCACACTGCAAGGAAACAGATGTTGGACAAGTCACCTTGGCAGAATCTACTCTTTTTGACTATGATTTGTAACAAGTCAGAAGGCAAGAAAAAAAAGTCTAACAATAATCTCAGTTGACATATTCCGCTTTTTTCTCTGTATTTATGTCATTCATAGGATTTAGATATGATCTCTGACCTCTAACCTCACATCTCCAACTGCCTTTCAAATATTTCAAAATGGATTGACAGCAGACATCTTAAACTCAACATGTACAAAACTAAAATCATTCTTTCCCTTATTCCTTGGAAGTAAAGCTATGGTAAATCTGGACAACATACTAAAAAGCAAAGATATCACCTTGCCAACAAAGATCTATATAGTCAAAGGTAGTTTTTAAAAGCTAAATAGTAAATAAAGTATGGCTATGAGAGTTGAACTATAAGGAAAGTTGAAAGCCACAGAATCAATGCCTTCAAATTGAATGGCTGAACAAGTTGTGGTATATGATTGTGACGGAATACTACTGTGCTATATGAAATGGTGAGCTCAGTGATCTTAGAAAAACATGGAAAGAAACTGTGATGCTGTTCAAGAAGACCTTTGAGAGTCCCTTGGACAGCAAGGAAAACAAATCAGTCAATACCCAAAGAAATTAATTCAATGAGAAGGACAAATAGCGAAGCTGAAGCTTAAATACTTTGGCCACATAATGAAAGACAGGACTCATTGAAAAAGACCCTGATGTTGGGAAAGATTGAAGGCAAAAGGAGAAGGGGATGGCAGAGGATGAGATGGATAGTGTCACAGAAGCAACAAACATGAGCTTGGACAGATTTGGGGAGATAGTGGAGGACAGAAGGGCCTACCATGCTATGCTCCATGGGGTCATGAAGAGCTGGAGAGGACTGAACAAATAAATGACAACAACCTACTAGCAAAAATCTCCCTTAGGTTTAATATATAAGCTTACCCAACTTAGGCAAGTCATTCACTTAGGAAGAATAATACATCTGTGTGCTGGAGAAGTGGGGGGTGTGGGAGGTGGGCAATATAATATGATAACCATATCTCCCTTCATATATTTATTTCACTAGAGCTCACATTCAAATGCATTTGCATTTTCTGAGCACACAGAGAATAGTAAGAGGCCCTGGAATATGATGGACATTTTTAACCTGCAATTCTAAACTTCAAAATTCTATCTTGAAACTTGTAGTTTATTGGGTTGTTATTTCTCCATATAATCATATCAGAATCCAAAGCTTGTATGTCCTTGTAGTCCATACATTTATTAGTTATTTCACTTGATTTTTCCATATTAAAAAGTCCTTAAATTTATTCAAAGTACTTTACATATTAGACATTCGAGACCAGAGTTCAGGTACTTTCATTATAAAAGGGGTAAAGGGAGAAGGGTCTTTTCTACTAAGGTCTACTCAGAGGTGACCTACTTCAATCAGTTCAACAAATCTTTGTTGAATGCAACAAATAATACAGGCAAGACACAGTGCTAGCTCTAAACATGGGCCTTTTGCTTTTTAATATTGGATGAACTGGGGACAGTTAGACATAAAAAACACAGCCCAATGTGAATATGTGAGCTCCTCAAAGAACTGGAAGGAAAGCCATTGCAGCAAAGGCTGCACAAATTGTGATATATGAATGTAAAGAAATATTACTGTGCCATAAGAAAAAAATACAGAAACTAAAGAAATTTGGAAAGACTTTTAAGATTTGATGAAGAACTAAATAAGCACAATCCAGAGAACAATTACACAATTACTACGATAATGTGGGTGTTACACTCTTCAGAATCATAGAATTTAAGAGTTGGAAGGGACCTCAGAGAGCATCTAGTTCAACCCATACACAAAGGAATCTTCACTATAACATACCTAGAAAATGGTCAGCCAGCCTCTTGATGACTTCCAAGGATTAGGGGCCCACCAGCTCTGGAGGCAAATCATTCCACTTTTAGACAGCTTGAATTGTTAGGAAGTTTTTCTTGACATTGAATCAAAATTGGCTCTTGTACCCATTATTCCTGGTTCTGTGAGGCCAAACAGAACAGGTCCTTCCTCCACATTATGGCCTTACAATGCTTGATCACAGGGAGCACATCTTCCCTGTGGCATCTTTTCTCCAAGGAGACTAAATGTGCTCACTCAGTTCCTTCACCTGATCTTATGTCATGAACTAATAAAAGCCCTTCACCCCCCTGGCTGCCCTCCTTCGGACACTGTAACTTATCAATGCCAAGGACTAAACACAATTCTCCAGATGAGGTCTAAGGGCAGAGTACAATGGGACTGGATTCTCATCTTCCAGTTCCTGGAAGCTATTGCCCTACTAATGCAGCCCAGGACTGAATTAACCTTTTGGGCAGCCCCATTAGAGTGAGGACTCATATTGAGCTTGCAATCCACTAAAACCCCATATCCTTTTCAGAATAACTGCTGTCTCTCCATGCTTTTCTCAGGTTTTTTTGGTGCCCAAATGCAGTACTTTACATTTATCTCTATTGAATTTCATCTTAATCCACCTAATGCTCTATACTGTTAAGAACCTTTTGTCAATTTTTTAAGCACTTACTTTGTGTTAGGCACAATATTAAGCCCTGGGGACATAGAGAAAGGCAAGAACAAGGTCCTTGAGCTCAAGGAGATCACATTCTAATGGAGACAACATGCAAACAACTATGACATATGAGGAATGAGTGAGAACATGGAGGGGAGAATATAAGGAGCTCTGCGGCTCACCCCCGCCAGAAAGCTTCAACCATGACACCAGAGGGAATAGAAGAGCAGAGAATTCTGTGACTCAGGAGTGTGTGATCAGGGATGAACCAAAACCAAGCATAAAAAGGAGCTTCCACTCACTGTTCTGTGAAGACACAATCTGATGCATTCTATACTCCCATCCTCTGCCTCTTTCTTCCACCATCTTGTTCTCTCTCTCAAGGGAATAAAACAGATTCTGGTTTTCTTCGAGTTCATTAATCGTCTAATATTCACTAATAGTCTTTCTGTTTTCCCATTTACTTTTTAAAAATGAATTTTCTCTAAGACTGCATGGACTTAATTGTATTGATTGTGTGTGTGTCCTTGGGGACAAATAGGTATTGAAGTACCCAGGGAGAGAGATGTTCATAATTACTGAGAATATTACCAACAAGGTGGCTCAGAGATAGACTTAAAATATATTTTATTGATTCATATTTTATAGCATCCCAAAAGCAGAGAGAAGGCATGAATCAAGGCCATTACCTAGATCCAATGAAGCCAAGTCCATCTTGGTTGGAGGAAAAACTTCAAGCAAACTGAAGTTAGCTTTTCTGAATAAATTGCCTCATTCTCAAATAGAATAAATTCTATTGTTTTTCCCAGACAGATCTAGAAGAAAACCACCCTGCTCCAACCCCCAAAGGGCAAGATAAAAAGCTGACTAAAAAGAAAGCCCCTGAAGGGTAGGAGCTAGAGGCCATGAGGGCAATGACCAACCAAGAGAGAATATCTAGCTCTCTTATGCAACCTTCTGCTCTTATCCACTAACACATAAAGAAAAACACTTGAAGACTGAGAACTCTGATCTAGGTGATATCTGAAAACTGCCTGTTCATAACTTTTGACCATTTATCAATTGGGGAATGACTTTATTCTTATAAATTTGACTCATTTCTCTATATGTTTTGGAAATGAGGCCTTTATCAGAGACACTGGTTGTAAAAATTTTTTCCCAGTTTTCTCCTTCCCTTCTAATCTTGGTTGCATTGGTTTTGTTTGTGCAAAAACTTTTCAATTTAATGTAATCAAAATCATTCATTTTGCATTTCATAATGTTCTCTATCTCTTGTTTGGTCATAAATTCTTCCCTTCTCCATAGATCTGACAGGTAAACTATTCTTTGCTCTCCTAATTTGCTTATAGTATCAGCCTTTACATCTAAATCATGTACCCATTTTGACTTTATCTTGGTGTAGGGTGTAAGATGTTGGTCTGTGCCTAGTTTCTGCCATACTATTTTCCAGGTTTCCAGTGTTTTTTGTTAAATAGTAAGTCCTTATCCCAGAAGCTGGAGTCTTTGTATTTATCAAACAGTAGATTACTTTAGTCATTGACTATTGTGTCTTGCATGCCTAATCAATTCCACTGATCCACCACTCTATTTCTTAGCCAGTACCAAGTAGTTTTGATGATTGCTACTTTATAATACAATTTAAGATCTGGTACAGCTAGGCAACCTTCCCTTGCATTTCTTTTCATTAATTCCCTTGATATTCTGGACCTTTTGTTCTTCCAGATGAATTCTGTCATTATTTTTCTAGCTTTATAAAATAATTATTTGGTAGTTTGATTGGTATGGCTGATCTATGTGAGAACTAATCATCACTTCAGAAGAGTGATGTTAAATCATCCCCTCTCCTCTTTCTTGGCAGAGAAGTGATAGACTATAAATATAGAACGAGGCATACCTTATCAGATAGGGCCAATGGATTAGATTATTTTTCTAAACTAGGTCTCTTTACAAAAAGGAAAGGTTCTATGGGGGACTAGGGGCGGGTTTAGGGGTGGACAACCATTGGGAAGAGACAGTGATATAACAAAGATATCAAAAAAACTGCTCTTTAAAAATGTGTGAGCTCCTCTCTCTCCTTTCCTACCCCTTTGAGAACAGGCTAAATAAATGAAGTTCTCTCCTTAAAATAAGTAGTATCTGGTTTGGGCCAGATTGTTCTGTTTGGCTGCCCAGTAGATCATTCCATTTAACATACATTTCTTACGTGCAAGGAATTGTACTGGGCATATAAGAAGGGGGGAAAAAAGCCCACAGCTCCTGACCTCAAGGATTTTACAACTGAGTAAGTACAAATATGGCCTTTTCAATGAGAAATTACAGTGGTTTCCTAGGCCCAGACTAAACAAAATAGAAAATATCTGCATATAACAGTCTTTCCCAAAACTGGGAGATTATTCCCTAAAATCATCTCACACTCCCTTCAATGACTTTGCTGGGATTCTTATGGGATTTGAGGGTTAGTTCATCTCTTTTAGATGAATAAAACTGCCTCATCAAAGTATAGATTGACTTAAGCCAATGAATGCCTTTTGGGGGAACACAGATTTAGAGCTGAAAGGTCTTTGGAAGTCATATAGTCCACTCTTCATTATACAGATGAGGAAACTGAGGGCCAAAGGTGTTAAGGGATTTGCCAGAGATCACAGGGGTATTAAGTAGCAAAACCAGGATTTTCACCCAAGTCTTCTAACTCTAAAGTCAGTGCTCTTTTTATTACACCCCATTAACAGGAGTTTCATGTGAGCACTCTTGACAAAGGTAACTTGGTAATGGTGTCTATTTTAATTTTACCCTTGTTGTGTGTTGTGTGCAGTTTGTCCTTCATTCTCAAAGAGGACAATGGTATCAGCAAGTGAATTGGATTACAGCGAGGGAGGGCTAAAGACATACTCTACAGACTAATTCAGGGGAATTTCAGCTCAAATTGATGAAAAGTTTGAAATATATTTTTAAATAACTGCAATTTTTCTAAGTTCAGGGTCACAACAAATAGTAGACAAAATGCTGTCAATAGACGTCTTAATTTTCTTTAGCGAACAGGTATCAGTTAGAATGTGCTATTATTGTTGCTACAGTCATTATTCTATTTTAAAAAAACATGATTCCAGTGACATACATTGCTGGAACTTGCTTTACAGAACAGAAATAAATAGGCATTTTTAAAAAAGATACTTGAGTTGACATCCAGTCATATTACTGAATTACAAATTCAAGTTGCAAAGAGACAAATTTAGCATGGAAATATGTTTTACACGATTGTACATCTCTAACCTACAGCATATTGCTTACTGTCTTAGGAAGAAAGGAGGGGAAGAGAGAGGGGAGGGCAGGAGGGAGAAAATTTGGACCTCAAAAAAAATTTTTTTAATGATTGTTAAAGGGGCAGCAAGGTGTTGCCATAGATAGAGCGCTGACCCTGAAGCAGGATCCAGCCTCAGATGCTTATTAGCTTTGTGACCCCTGGGCAAGTCACTTAACCCCAACTGCCTCCAAAAAAAAAATGATTGTTAAAAATTGTTTTTACATGTAATTGGAAAAAATAAAATACTATTGTTTTTTTAAAGAGAAAGATTTAGGCTTTATATAAGAAAAAACTTCTAAACAATTAGAGCCATTCCAAAGTAGGGCAGGCCATCTTAGGATGCAGATCCCTTTCACCAGAGATTTTTCAGCAGAGACGGGATTACCCCTTTGGGGGAATATTGTAGAAGGCGTTTCAGGGACCAAGTAAGCTCTATGACCCTTCTACTTCTGAGAGTTTATAATTGTGTGTACCTTTAATGATCCAGCTCTATTTGACGCTGAGGAGACTAGAATTTCCCTAGCCCCTTTCTACAAGCCAGGTTTCATGTCCACTGATTTGTTAATTGTGTTAACATTAGATTATGTTTAATTAGCATATCAAATTAAGTACGGAAAAATACTTTGCTTTATTAAATAGGTCCCACTCCTTGGAAAATTATGAAAAAAAGTAAAGTATCTTTGGCATCCTCCCACTTGATGAAGTAGAAAAAGTCAAGGATTTAGGCTCAAATTCTGATTTTGCCATTGCTACCAGGAGACTTTAGGCCATTCACTTAGCCTTTCTGGCTCTCAGTTCTTTCATTTGTGAAATAAAGGCGATTGGGGGCAGCTAGGTGGCGCAGTGTATCAACAGAGCACTGGCCCTGGAGTCAGGAGGACCTGAGTTCAAATCTGCCCTCAGACACATAACATTCACTAACTGTGTGACTCAGGTAAGTCACTTAACCCCAATTGCCCTGAAAGAAAGAAAGAAAGAAAGAAAGAAAGAAAGAAAGAAAGAAAGAAAGAAAGAAAGAAAGAAAGAAAGAAAGAAAGAAAGAAAGAAAGAAA